AATGTAAGTTCTGTTTATGCTTATGTTTCGGTATTGACGATGACATCCCAAATGTTTTAAAATGAATAAAAATATTTTTCTTCGGAAATGATTTGATAATGTATTTATCATGTTTTACTGGGAACAAATTTCGCAACATTTTTATTAAAAGATGTACTCTAATGTTTTAAAGCATAAACAAAATCGGTCTTTTCTGGCCGTGAAAATGGGGATGTCACACTTGTCATTAATGTGTAGTCATTTCAAAGTTCGACTATGAATTACAACTCTGACTACGAAATGGTTGCATTTGGACTAGTATGTATAAATACCACTTATAGCACCAGTTTATTATAATCTCGATTTTATTATGAGTTCCTCACAAAATTTCAATGTTTGCTCATGCAACGAAGTAGATTGTTACTACTGTGATTCAGTCGAATCTTTTTTTACACCCTCTTCAGTCGGCCCATATATGTCAAATGAAAATTTTGAAGAATTGAAGAAGGCTGAAGAACAACAAGAACAGGACAAAGAGTCATCCCAACTTCTCACTCAGCGTGGTAATGATATTGCATCGGAATGCAAAGAAGCTCAAGAATGGATAGACCTCAATAAATACAAAATCAACGAGCATGAAGAATTGATAAAAAAAAGACTAATAAGACAATCAGAACGACTGAAAAATGGCTTGCTGAGAAGGACGAGTAGTTGATACAACTTAAGGTGAAAAAGGATCGTTTGGAAGATAAAATGAGAATTAGGGATGACTATATAACAATCGAAAAAGAGAAGTACTTATTGCAGTTCCCAGAGTTCAAAAATTAGTTACAAAAATGTTGTAACATTATCATGATACACCTTAGGATGCAAAAGGATCATTTGTTGTTTTTTTAAATAACATCTTGTAATTGTTATAATCTACAAACTAAATATTATAATATAAAGGCTTCATTAATTGTTATAATATGCAAACTAAACTAAAATATGAAAGCATAACAATGTCTTGTAAGATTTAATACAAAAATTACAATACATAATTAGTTAACAACTCTTCATTTCAAGGTTGTTTTATACCAAAATCAGCATCATAGCTTTGTGGCAACTCGCTAAACCACCAATATTAAATACCATTTCTGCAGTAGAAATTGTCATGCGATGTGCTCCATTACCGGACGCCCTTCCAGTACAATTGTTTCTCGTATGTCCTAGTTGACCACATGTAGAACACTCTTTTCTAATTAGACCCTCACCTTGGGATGGAATGTGGTATGTGTTTCTTGACCTGCATTACTGATATTTATCCATTATTGGTGGCTTAACAACCATCAAATCAACGGGGATATCCCATTCGGATAGCTTTGGCAAAGGGTTTATTGATTCCTCATACGTTTTCCTCAGTGTTTCAACAAAGTAAGCATTTAATGCATACCTCAAGCAGTCTTGGTAATTGTTCATTGTTAAACATCTTATGACATTACCATAAGGTATCCCATCAAGTTGCCAACCCTCTATCGACATCTTAGGCATGAACAAGGAGAGTGTACAGCCTCACACCCTTCTATACGGCCGCACACCCCTTTGTACGACCGCACACCCACCCTTATGGCTATACACCCACTTTGATGATCATATGTCGCCTCAAACTTGCAATATCACTCAGTATGGGACCTAGAACCACTCCTTGGATGCTAGTAGGACCTTGGAAACACCTCAAAGACACTCCCCATCATGAGTGTACGGCTGTACACTCATGGGCCATACACCCATGGTCGTACACACCTTTAGGGTGGCCGTACACCTCCCTCATTCGATCATATACTTTCCAGGTCCTTAGAGTAGTTTTCTATGTCGTTTAGTCATGAAATACCTTAATCTAATACATATATGTGTTAATATATGTTAATAGGATCCATTTTCATTCAAACCATTAGCTGATACTAGGCAGATCCTTACATTCGAATCCTACGTCAACAGTGAGTTCATATCCCTACAGTTTTTAATGTTTTTAAACATTTTAAAGGGGGAATACAAGCCAAACACAAGAATTTTTGTGAACTAAAACAGGAATGTTCTCAACAAGTAAAACTTATGCAATTTACACAAGTTAATAGATTTTCATAAACCATTTAGATACTTTATCCCTCTTGTAACATGCGGAGCATGGGGGTTACTTTCTACTCAAAATTGCATAGTTTTCAGAGCATATCATGAACATAACTTTTTAGTCAAACTATAATAGGTATAGTTTGGGAACTACTTTACTGATTTTTACGAATACGAACTACTTACATGGTTAAACAAATAAACTATGACGGATTTAGTTTATGACACATTACTACGAAAGTACAACAGTAAATAATTATTTTAGTATAATTATTTTAATCTACAAAACATACATCGGATTTTCATACGAAAGGACAGTACACTTATATATTATTACACGTAAAGTCATCAACATATATGGGAGAGACATCCTTAGGCGCTTACAACATTAACTAAGTGGAGGACTACCCTTATGAACCAGAATTTCCTAGAGGGAAAGTGTGGCTTTTGTGTATAGATCTATACGGGACTAACTATCCCGCACCTGGCTTCTAGCTACAGTCGGACCGGCAGGTCTACTGGTGACAAATGTCATAAAGGATATCGGCGCTTGTTTCACATTGTATCAAGTTTAAGTACGGTCATAAAACTCGTAAATCGTACGACTCTTTTATGTAATAATATACCTCTCATAAACAATTGCTTTAATAACATAAGTGTGACACTTATGCCTTACAGTTTTAGAACTATTAAAGCAAAAAACACACGTATACCACAAAAAATAAGGGATTTTCCCAGTCTAAACCTCATACTTTACATTCTGATGATAGCCAGGGTTTTCAATCGAAACATACTTACATACTGGTGATAACTAGGGTTTGATACGAATCATATTTACTTTTAATAGAAGAAAACATTTTATACAAATTCAATGGCTAGTTTCCATTACAAAAACATGCTTATGAACTCACCAGCTTTATGCTGATACGTTTTCAAAATCGCTTGTATTCTCAAGACAACAATAGATAGGTACTCTTGCCAGCTTTTGGAGAAGACGGAGCATTTTTGGAGTCTCGTCTTTATCTTTTTCTACTTTTGATAGATATACAAACTTGTACCTAACAATCAATGTAAATATTCATATTATATTGTAATATTTGTGCTTACTTTGATTACTATGATGCAATTGTTGTGATACTACATATGACGTCATCTACCCTCGGATGTTTCTACCGTCTGTCTTATGGTTCGAGGGTGTGACAGATTGGTATCAGAGCTATTGTCTATAGTAAACTTAGTATACTGAGCCTTACAAGGTATACAACTATAAACACTAAGGGGCTGAAGTACTCTGAACTAAAAGTATACTTTTAAAATATAAGTATTTTTACAAAAAGTATACAAGTATACCTACATACCAGAAATAGTATCATAAGTAGACAACACAAAAGTATTTGGATGTTGGACACTGCGGTTAAACCTCGGCAGTTATGTAATCATGTCTAGGGTCAATATAGCCTGATCAACTATATTTATTCTAGACATGACCAGCATGTGTTTGGGAGTGATTGAGGTGTTGTAGCAGGCCTAAAACTTACCAAGTATGTATAACAAGGAATCAATAGAACAAAACTGACAACTTAAAATACTATAGGAGTATTTTAGCCAGAGCCAAGTACATTGTAGAGATTCGTTCCAAGTGTTGCTACTCATTCTTTCTTAGCGATAGTTTACTTGTATTAGTAACTATTCCTTATTTATCGCTTAGTAGAACACTTTATCTAGCAGATAGAGATATACCTTGTTTCATATCTCTTGATTCAAAGTCTACGGGACTAATCATCTCCTTCTTCCTGATATAAAACGAGATGCCTCCAAAGAAACAACCCAACAGAAAGAACAACAATCCTCCAACAGATCCAGCTCCACCACCTCCTCAGTTCGATCCCACCATGTTTCAGGTAGCTGTTACTGCCGATGTAGTTTCCGCAATATCACATATAAATTATGGCGGCTCTAGCGGGTTGGGAAATGGTGCCCAACCCCCTCAATCTCGATGGAAGCTAGGGACACCATAAGGAGCGTTCCTACAAATAATTCATGTACCCAAAGCCTAGATCATTTGATGGCAATGGAGGTGTCATTGCCTCAACTCGATGGATCGAGAAGATCGAATTGGTCTTCGAGATCTGTACATGTTTTGAAGCCAATAAGGTGAAGTTCGCTGCTTGTCCCTTCACAGACGGAGCACTGACCTGGTGGAACAGTCGGGTCATATCCCTAACCCTACCAGCAGCAAATGCTATGGGTTGGGAGAGCTTGAAAGAGCTCATGCTTGATGAATACTGCCTAAAGGCCAGATGCACAAACTGGCTCACGAACTATGGAACTTGAAGATGAAGGGTTCCGACATTGCTTCCTACACTACTAGATTTGAATAGCTAGCACTTCTTTGCCCAGGAATGGTCACCCTAGAAAAGCAAAAAGATAGAGAGATACATTTGGGGATTGACGCCCCCAATGCAAGGAAATGTTTTGGCCGCCAGGCCAATCACTTTCGACAACGCCAAGTGCCTGGCACAAACTCTTATAGATCATGGAGTTGATCTTGAGAAAGTGACAGCCGCTGCCGAACCAGCAAAGGGGAGTGGTGAGGAAAGAAATTTCTGGAAGCAATGTAAGGGCCAAACTTCGTAGGAGCCCACAAAGAAACAACAAACAGTGGCAGTTTACGCTACTACTACTTCGGCCACTACTCCTGCAACTCAAGCACCTGCCAGTAGATATGCTGGTACCCTTCCTCGGTGCGACAATTGTAACTATCATCATAATCCC